TCAAGTAAAACTAGACATATTTACATACACAAATTTACAGTATCGCTACGTAAATTCGATACTTATAAACACATTCAATTGCAAAAATTTAATCAAGATTGCATAATGGTGGGTTTGATTGCCAATATTTTTCATGGAAAATATATGTTTTTTTTACCCAAATTCCTACTTTTGTGTTGTTTGATTGACATATTTTTTTCATAAAAAAATATTTTCTTACTTTCGATCACATGACCATATTTTTCTCAAAATTAAGGAAAATTTTTGTTTTAGAGGGAGTATGATTTTATTTTCTAAAGAATTCGCTCTCTCTCTCTCTCTCTCTCTTATCTATTCCCTCTCTTTCATTTACTACCAATAAAAATGGACAAGTATAATATTTTTTAGGTTAAAAACTAAATCAATTAAACATATTTAATTAATAGTTTTCATATAAATAAGTTCAAGGCAATTGATTTGTTTAGAAGTTATTTTCTTTCCATGCAAATTCCACGCTCTGAGAATAAGTTCAAGGCAATTTTCATGCAAATAAGTTCAAACGCGCCCTGAGAATATTTATCAATCTCTTATCAAAATCAATGTCACTTATTGCACGAGGTAGACAAATATATCACATCTTGGAATCAATATATCGTCCCTAAGTTCATTAATTGATTATCAAGAAATTGAATTAAATTAAGCACACAATAAATAATTAATATACGTGAAATTAGCATCAAATCTTTGAATTAAACTAATACTAATCAACTAAGCTACTCTCTTTATCCTAACAAATAAACGATTAGAGAAAAGAGATGAAAGCAGTTGTTGATTTTTGTCATACAAATTCCAATAATGGATCTTCAGCCTCTTCATTGATTATTGCAAATTTCTTGACGCAAAATATGTTTTTCTGCCTTCGAATCTCAAATTCTTACCAAAAACCTTGAGTTTGTATTAATGAATATATGTTCTTGGCTTTTTTGCCTAAAAATGCTTCTTCCTTTGAGAAGAATAAATAAATCTATTTACAGTCTCCTAATTAGGTAAAAATCAAGAAACAAAATATCCTGCGTCAGAATTTCAGGTAAACAAATCTGAGTCTCCCNTCAAGTAAAACTAGACATATTTACAAACACAAATTTACGGTATCGCTACGTAAATTCGATACTTATATACACATTCAATTGCAAAAATTTAATCAAGATTGCATAATGGTGCGTTTGATTGCCAATATTTTTCATGGAAAATATTTTTTTTTTACCCGAATTCCTACTTTTGTATTTTTTGATTGACATGTTTTTTCATAAAAAAATATTTTCATACTTTCGGTCACATGGCCATATTTTTCTCAAAATTAAGGAAAATTCTTGTTTTAAAGGGAGTATGATTTTATTTTCTAAAGAATTCGTTATCTCTTTCTCTCTCTTATCTATTTCCTCTCTTTCATTTACCACCAATAAAAAATGGACAAGTATAATATTTTTTAGGTTAAAAACTAAATCAATTAAACACATTTAATTAATAATTTTCATATAAATAAGTTCAAGGCAATTGAATTGTTTAGAAGTTATTTTCTTTCCATGCAAATTCCACGCTCGCAATCAAACGCGCCCTAAGAATATTTATCAATCTCTTATCAAAATCAATGTCACTTATTGCACGAGGTAGACAAATATATCACATCTTGGAATCACTATATCATCCCTAAGTTCATTAATTAATTATCAAGCAATTGAATTAAATTAAGCACACAATAAATAATTAATATACGTGAAATTAGCATCAAATCTTTGAATTAAACTAATACTAATCAACTTTTTGATTTTTGTCATACAAAATTCCAATAATGGATCTTCAGCCTCTTCATTGATTATTGCAAATTTCTTGACGCAAAATATGTTTTTCTGCCTTCAAATCTCAAATTCTTGCCAAAAACCTTGAGTTTCTATTAATGAATATATGTTCTTGTCTTTTTTGCCTAAAAATGCTTCTTCCTTTGAGAAGAATAAATAAATCTATTTACAGTTTCCCAATTAGGTAAAAATCAAGAAACAAAATATCCTGCGTCAGAATTTCAGGTAAACAAATCTGAGTCTCCCGACCAATGCAATCGCACCATGTAGGGGTCATGCGATCGCATAGAAGGCTTGTTTACCTTTCATGTTCTGGACTTTGCTTTCTTGAGATCGCAAACTGATATTCTCCTTAAATTATTTCTTTTCCTTTAAAAAAAAAAAAAACCATTTCCTCGGCATTTGACATCTTTTTGGTT